GATCAGCCTAAAACATTGTGGTAGATTTTAATATTAAATAGTAGATCAAAATTTACTGCAATAAATACATTTATTATACATTAACATACATACATTAACACCACCTTGTATAAATTTGCCTTAGTGGTGTTGCGGGCAAATTTAGATTTTCGCCGCGGTACTTCTGAATGTCAAAATGATGTGTTTGTTATAAACAAGGCGTATTCATATTACAACAAACACATCATTTTGACATTAGGAAGTACCGCGGCGAAAATCTCAATTCGCCAGTAACACCACCTTGTATAAAATCGCCTTGGTACTATATCTAGATCATAGATCTAGAACACTGGAACATTTATTTATTTATTTTGTAAGTCATATGAAACAATTAATTTCTTACTGACTACAGAAAGGAATTGCTTAGGAACTAGTTAAAGTAATTAGGTAAAATAATTATACAGTGGGCTCCGGACAGCTCCAGGCGACAGGGACGGGTCGAAGTTAGGAATATTATTTAATTCAGATAGAGTTCTTGGTATGGGAGCAAATTTAAGGTAATCAAATTTAGGAAACTCAGTGTAAAACAGAGGGACGTGTCGGAGATTCCGCGCAGGAATAAAGAAGTTTAGTTTCTCCAGTAGGGCAGGGCAGTCAACTGTATAATTTATCAGGTTATACACAAAGCTGCAAGAGAGAAAGGAAGATCTGGACTGTAAAGTTTTCAGGGATAAAAGTTGACAACGGGATTCGTAGGGAGGTATAGGATCAGTAAAGTTTAAAGAACGGAGTGCAAACTTAATAAATATTTTTTGGATTCGCTCTATACGGTTAATATGGGTTACGTGAAACGGTCTCCAAATGAGGGCTGCGTAATCAATCGGAGATCTTACTAATGAAGTATATAGCATCTTGAGCGTGTATGGATCCGAGAAAGCTGAACAGTTACGTCTTACCAAAGCAAGCATAGCGTACGATTTCGAAACAACATAGTTAACGTGGGTGGTAAATCGAAGTTTGGAATCAAAATATACACCAAGATCTTTGAAGTCAGTAACATGGTCGAGGGTTGAGCCAGAAATTTTGTAACTAGTTAGTAACGGGCTATATTTTCTAGTGAATGTGGAATGAAAACACTTCTTTACATTCAGAAAAAGCCGATTCCGGGTGCACCACGAGTAAAGCTTATCAAGCTCAAGTTGCAGTGCGCAAGTTTCTAATCGTAGAGTAGATTTTAAGGTCGTCGACGTACAAAAGGAATTTTGAAGTTTGGAATCAGGAGCTGACATCATTAATAAGTAATGTAAATAGCAAAGGCCCCAGTATGCTACCCTGGGGGACGCCTGACTGCGCGACGAAAGATTGTGAAGATACGTTGTCAAAGGCAACTACGCACTGTCTGTTATCTAAATAAGACCGAATCCACTGCAAAAAAGTGGAGTGGAAGCCCATATCTTATAATTTAGCCACTAAGATTTTATGGGAAACACTATCGAAGGCTTTAGAGAAGTCAGTATAGATCGCATCAACCTGATCTCCATCCTGAAAGGCTGCAAAGCAGTCTGCAGTGAAAACTGCAAGATTGGATACAGTTGACCGGCCACTGACGAATCCATGTTGATTTGGGCATATCAAGCTACGGACTGAGAATGACAACTTTGCTTTGATGACGCATTCGAAGATTTTACATCATTCTTATTGCCACTTTTAAAAACTGGGGTTATAGAGGCCTTTTTCCAATCGTTAATAAACTCTCCATTGGATAGAGACTTATTAAAAATTATCGTTAAGGGTTCGATAAGGGCGGGACATTTTTTAAAAATAATGGCAGATAAGCCGTCAAGATCCATTTGTTTCGAGATTTTCAAAGACTGAATACCTTTTTCAACGTCTTCAGATGACAGAGTAACCGACCCAAATGATAGGGTAGCGTCGGAGACACAACTGCGGATGAGACTGCTGTCATGGTCCAACTCGGTCACAAAGTTTGAGCAAAAATACTCGGTAAATAGATTAGCCGCCTCTTCAGGGGTATTCGCGAGCTTTTCTTTATAGAAAACCGATGAAGGTATGTACGAAGTAGCTTTCTTGGATTTAATATAGCTCCAAAACGCCTTAGGATACTTTTTGATATTAGCTTCTTGATTACTGATATACCTTTTATAAAGATATTTGTCGAGATAATTAAACTATTGTAGGTAAAATTTGTATAGATCGTAGTAAGCAGACGAGTTCGAAGCCTTGTATTTCTTATAGAATTTGCTTTTCCGATTTTTTAAATACTTTAGTTCTTTAGTATACCAGGGCAAAGTGTAGGCCTTCCTAGGAAAAGTAGGAATGAGATCTAAGCACAACTCATAGACATAAGATTTAAAAGTTTTAAAAGCACTTGAAGTGTCTAAATTTTCGAGAAGGTCGGTCCAGTTATGACCCGTTAAAACTAAGTTCAAATGTTCAAAGTCGCAAAGATTATAATTAAACGTCGGCCTGAGACCATCAACTGGAGCAGTATAAAATTCATAGGAATGTAGACTTAACACTAGAGGAATGTGGTGGATATTGCCTACAGATATAGGCGAGTTGCACTCAGTTAACTGATAGTTTAAATTACTGCTTAAGAATATCAAATCTAAAAGACGATTTAGCTTGTTAAAATAGCTGTTAACTTGTGATAATCCAATACTTAAGAAACTAGCTATGGAATACAGATCACTTTCGTCTGATGCACTTACAGGGGTTAGCCATAATGAGTTGTTAAGTTTACGCCATAATACAGAGCTCAAATTGAAATCACCTAACACACATAGATGATGTTCGCCTATTCTGGAACTAAGAGATACGACATTATCCATGTGAGATTTGTAAATAGAGCTGCTACTATTCGGCGGAATATATGATGCACACAGAAAAAGTCGTCCCGTCGAGCCTTTCAGACCAATACAGAGTTGGTCGAGAATTGTATCTGAGTTCTGTAGTTGAACTAAGGACGAGTTGTATTTACGCTGGACGGCAATTAAAACTCCGCCTCCTCTGCAACGGCCGGTTTTAGACTCATCTCTATCTTTCCGAAATACATTATACAGATTTGGGTCGAGAAGTTGGGATTCAGCCAGCTTTCGATTATAACGAAGGCATCGTAGTCTAAGTGCGAACTTAATCTATGAACCATACTAGCTTTTGTCCGCATTCCAGAGACGTTTTGGAAATATATTTTAAAATTATTCCCCCATGGGGAGGAGCTACGTTGGTACTGGCTGATCCCCTATTCGTTGAAAAAAACGAAAATGTCGAACAGTGACGTTTGCAGGCCAGATCTCAGGCTTAAGCAACTTGGGAAACAAATCCTCGGCGACAGCTAGTTTGAAGTTAACATGTTCTAAATCATCCATTGAGGCATCTTTCTTGACGAGCTTATGACAAAGTAGCGACTGTTTTTTGATACCTGAGTGTTTTTCCACATATTCGAGTATGTCATTACAGCCTACAGAAGGCTTGAAGGAAGCTAAATGAAGCCACTTCTTACGAACAGCAACCTTCTTAAGAACAGCAACATTCAGTTCAGTGTTAGTATTTGAACCAATAACACTCAAATCATTGATTCTCTTGCCATTCGGATTAACGACTTTGCTGCGATCGTTATTTACTTGGTGGGCTGCGTTGTTACGGACGTCTACGGCTGGTACTCCAGGCGGAGGAATTTCGGCAGACCCTAACGCATCAGCATAACTCAGCCTAGAGACATTGCGAGTGTCAACGCCGAGTACACTATCCACGGCCGGAGAGGTAGAGCGAGATGATATTGTTTTATTATGTGTGTGTAAGGGTTTGTCAGGCGGTGCATTGGCGACTGCACTAGTAGAATTAAAAACAGTGTAAACAAGAGAATTAACATTAGGCTGCGAAGCATCGACATCATAATTAGCTGGAGCGGGCTGCGAAGCAGTAACATCAACATTGGCGGAAGCCAGAGAAGCAGAATCTACCTTTGGTGAAGCAGCGGCCGCGATGGCGTTGGTAGAATTTTCTGTTGGTGTGTTAGTACAACCACACTTACAGTGTAGTGCCATTTGGCGCAATTCGTTAACTTCGGCAGTGAG